AATGACATTATGTGTTCAGAAAGTTCAGAAACTCTGCATATTTTCCATTACATTGGTTTAAGTTTCATTCTCTCAATCACCTAAATTAAAAACAAACATAATTATATTAATTCTAAGATATTCAGGAATTTATTCTTCCAAACTACTTATTATCGTCTCTTAATTATGTGCAGTCTAAAGTGTTGGCGGCAACGACTGTAGCGAAGCCAGCGACGCCCGAGGGGACAGCTGACAGTGGTCAGTGACGCCAAACTGACCTCACTTACCGTCCGGCGGTGAGAAAATTCTTTCCTCTATGAGACTATCTCAATTGTCTGGCCTAGTTGAATAACACGGATGCGCGTTTTGTTACGCTATCAAGACTATCGCTCCCCCAGATAACGGCACGCATTGGCACCGACCCTAAGAACCCTCCCCTGACTTAGAACTTATCTTTAACGATCTTGAATAAACAAAACAACGCCGAGAAGAATCCCGTGATGATCTGTTTGGCTTTGATGCCACGCCACGGTGACTTAGAATTAGTTTAAGTGATCGTATACAGTTATCTTATTAAGAGCAGTGTTAAAGGTTCAATTAAGTGGTATTTGAATCGAAATTTATTTTAATTTCGTTGGATTTCGGGTGGGAGGGGTTTTGAGAATTTGACCGTTATTTGGATACCCCCTTGGGGGGAATTTCATGGAGATTTTATTCGATTGTCTTGTAAACGAAAATTAATACTTAGGCGTCATTGTGGGCGGTTTAAATGTACGATGTGTTTTTCAATCAGTTCGAATGATTAAGACAGGCTAGACCAAGTGGCGTGGTTGAAAAATGACCCCTTAATCGATATCGGTGTCTAAACTATCAAGTTGTGAACGACTGTAAATTAATTACATTGAAGGCTGCTGGGGTATTGTCACAACAAAACAGTTCTAAAAAAACAGAATACGTTCCAGAGACGTAAACGTCAATACACAGTTCTGGGAAACCTTTCCCAAATCATTAACACATTTTCAAAATGTAAAAGATTTTCTCACAATTCAGAGTATTTATTTATATAGAACGGAAATACCGAATCTTTAAAATCAAACAGATGTACACTGTCCATGGCAATACCCAACACGTCATAACTTTATTCTAAATGAGGTTTCTGATAAACTTTATATTAATTCAATGGAAGTATCTTCGTCACAGACATATGTTGATTTTTTAAGGCATAACAGGTCATAGTGAGATTTTATTATGTTTACACATTTTGGATCAAATTACATCTTTTAAAAATACTGCCGAAAATAGTCACTCGTTCAATTAATGAGAAAACGTGATCTTCCAAATGAATACTTCATGGCAGGATTTGAAACATCAGTTCAAGTACAATAAAGTGTCCGACAAGCGATTATCGAGAGAATCAAGTTGAAATTTATGACGCGTGGAAATGATTAAAAAACTAAAAGTTCTTTTCATGTACAATTTCCATAGCACAAGCACTGTACATGCAAATATATACCTCTGGGCGAATTTGTTGACGTTATTTCATAATAGTGCCGGAATGACTTTTATTTGAAGTCTAAAACATGACATTGTGTCAATACATATACTACAGTACATCAATTCTAGCTATATATATTCTCGATTTGATGAACAAGTGCAATGTATCAGCAACCGATGTGAGTCTGGTAAGCGGCAATATATGTCTTCCTCAAATGAAACACGTTGTGCCTCGGATGTGGCCAGTAATGCACCATGTGTTGACGAACAATGACATTGACATGAAACTGGCATCATGTTCATTTCAAACTATCGAATGTCTTAAGTCAACCATTTGTTGGAAAATGCACACATGCTATTTTGTAATATCTGTTAATTAAGTAATAAAATTGAAATATACATCAACTAGAGAAGAATTTCATGTAAGCGCCCGACCATATACAAAACGCATTCAATGACAACAAACAACTTTAAACGAAATATACATCATAAGTTCACATCCTACGAAATTATATGCTAGTTCATATTGGTTCATATGAAAATGTGTTTCTTATACCAACAACGTTGAGGAAAAACAAAGTTTGAAAATGTAAACAATACTCTTGATCTTGTTAATGTTTTTGAACACTAAAGTCTTCAAGAAAGAGAGGCACTTGATATATAACTTCCGAATTCTCCAAGGCTAATCATGCGAAATGAGAATAGCTAATATAACAATGGAGGTAGATGCACCGGGAACTTGAAGCCTGATAGGGTTACACCATCTTGTGCGAGGTTTAACGATAACGGTTGCAGGGGAAGATCGCTCAGGAAATAACCAGCATCCGAAATTTTAAAACCTTTTTAAGTCCTTAACTTCAATACCCTACCTTAAGTAAACACCGTTATTAAAACTTAGTCTATGATGCACATCGCTAAACCTTGAAAGAAGTGAGAACTCAAAGGTGACACTTTACCATTTGAAGATATATTCATAAACATGAATGCATAAAATGTTTGGGTTTTCGTTTCTTTCAAACGCAAAGGAGCGTTTGTAAGTGGTATCCTCCGAATATAAGACATGAGTGCTACGCCTTGGATACTTTAAATTCAATGCAAGTAACTGTATTTCAAAACAGTTTTGAAAACAGTATTTACCTAGGAGACAAACTGACGCTCATAGTCTACAGTTCCATATTTGGAAGTGTTTGAAACGTTCCAGTGTGTCAACAAATACATCAAAACAAGGGTTTTGTGGGCGAGATGAAGCTGAACGGGGAATGAATGGTTGTATCAAAATTAAAATGTTCTCTTAATTGAAAACCTCTATTTTTAAAGTAGATCGGAGAACATATTTCTTATTGTCGAAATCTGAACAAATGAACTGACAGCAGTGAAGTCATCTTTTATCGGGTCAATCCGGTACACCTGGTTATAATTGAAACGATATCCTAAAATTGAAAATTGTAAGTCTACATTTGAGAATACAACACAGTAAATGGAGTCAAAATGACACTTACACTTTCCTTATCCGCATCGTTATCCTTGGATTCATCCATATCTTGGGAATATTTCCAAAAATAGTGAAATAAGGACTATGATACCTTCCAGGGGAGTCGTTACGTACGTACTAGCTCAAACCCACAGATCGACTCGCTGTATTTGAACTCAGCGTTCCGCTACATGCATATGAAATATATTAATCTCAGTCGAGTGTAGCTAAATACCTGCTTTATGAATGTATATTTACATAGAACTATGTTCAAGTTTATAGCGATAACTAAGATTGGCAATTATGACTGAACTGGGTCACATAGCAATGTTATTAAATTGCTTAATGTACATGGCGGTTCTACCCGAGCGTTTTCGGAAAACATTCGCCTAGTTAACATACACATGAACTTATTATGATTAAATTATGTGTTTACATACTTGATAATAACAGTACGGGATTCTATATTCATTGATATTTCATGGTCAATCATTACAAAATTGGAAAATGAAAAATTGGATTAGAAACAGATTGATGAAAGTAAATATTATACAGTTAAGCGTCAAAGAAAGATACTGCCATTTCATATATATTTGAAATGCTACACTATTTATAATTATGTGTAAGTATGAACTATCATTGTTGATAAATGGTATATATTGAGTTTTGGCAATATAACCAAATTTTGAATTTTGAAGTTGACAGTTTCAAAAAGTTGACCGGTTTTGTTACCTTTATATCTTTGTTTACGTTTCGAAAAATGACTGGAATTTGATTATGTTTATATCAGTAGTGGATAGCGCTGGGTCATAACATGTTAAGGATCCAGTGTGTTCTTGCACAAATGGAAACAGAATATTATTCATAATTAATCATTTCAATAGTTGCGAACATAAACGAAAGAGTAGCAAGGAAAATGTAACTTTTCATTCTCTTTGTGAAGAATCGTATCTTGATAGTGTGGTTCTTATCGATATGAACGCGAAAAGACGGCAAAGAACGTGAAATAAACACGACCCCCATATCTAGAGAAATTAACACGACACGCTATCATTGCTACACCTAGCAACACGCAACACGCACCAGAAAGGCTACAGTATGATTATTGACGTGTATGACACTATGATACATTTCAGTAGTCTATTTCACTTATCAGTGCGATGACGGACATATCTCCACGCCGCTATTGAGCACATCAGCCGCCTTGTCTAAACATATCAACACCAACGTCACGGGGTTGCAATGTACAACCGGCACACGTCTCGCTCAGTGCTATCACATTTAGCGCCACATTTTAATCCACCGTGTATAGATCATAAGGTTTTGTTTGGAACTAAAACCTATGGAAGATGTGAATATGAATTGATCAGTTCTTGATGTGACAGTTTTGATATTGGGTTGATTGAAATGTACAAATACCTTCGATATCATCTTACGCTAATTCTATTGCAATCAGAATGAAATATGGCGGAAAGCGTTGGGTGTTGGTAATACGATTAAACATTCGCGTCTTTTCTAGAAAAGTACAAACATGCTGAGAGTAGTCATTTTGCTCGTGTAAAGAGGCGCAACAATATATTTCGTAATGATCTCGTAAAAAAATCTCATCTTACAAAAAACAACAAAGCGTTTGATAAACAATATACATTTAAGTTGGATGCTGATTTCTAAATAATATCGACCATGCCTTTAAGGATTTGGCCTTTTTGTCAATAAAATGTTAATTTCAAAATTACTCATAATTAGTCATATTTGTTGAATCACGAAAGGAAACGGCGTTGGAATAATTGTGTATCGTTGAAACAGCATCATATTTCAAACGTTTCGATCCAACCTTCTGACAACTCAACATTCATAAAATCGCAATGAACCAAATTAAAGATGTCGGAGAATACTACTTGAGATGACTGACGTCATGCATTAAACTGCCGAGTCCCAATACAACCGGTAATTTTGAAATAAAAAATCGCCAAAGAGCCGAATGTCACAGTGGTATCGACAGGTAGGGAAGTGTGACACAGTGTGCGTGACAGCGTGACAACACAAGGTTACTTACAGGTGGAGAATACTGTAGCATGGATGTCACGTACTAAACCTCCAGATGATATATTCCTTTCTTGGCGTCAGTGTCTTACTATCAGACATGCATATGCCAGTTCACACTCAAAATCACCCCTTCAGAGTCAGTGTGAATAGTTTCGTGTCCGTATTCCGCATGTAGTCCTCGACACGCCTCTTGCAATCGCTTCGATTTTCATAATAACCGCTTAGGCTCGTGCACTCAGATATATGGTACAAAAGTGAGCGCGGGAGCGGATACGGGAAAAGAATAAAGTATTAATATCTCTCCAATGTGCAACATCAACTTACCCCAATGACAGTTGCTGCCATATTCTCTGCTCAATAGATGGAACGCCTTCAAATTGTGTGCTATCATTAGGTTGAGACAGAATGGATGCACAGCGAATGCGAAGCTTATGATTATAAACGCCCCGCCTTCGAAAGAGGCGAGGCGATCACTGAGCCGTAAGACAGAAACCATTGATGCCATCAGCCAATCAGAAGGCGGGTAGAAATGATTGATGGGTGAGGAAAGCCGGAGGCGTAACTAATCTCCAAATCGAAAACGACCTTATCAAGCACGATCAGACATCCCTGCAGTCTTGGCTTAGAAACGCATTTCATGTACATTGATTTTATACCGTCGTTGAATAGCGGTGGGAAAAACCATCGCTTCTTGATTTGATGGTAATTGAATCATATATTTTATATTCTTCTGTCTGTATTGAAAGATAAGGTAGCCACGAAGAGTTAAACGATGCTGTCAGTTATTGCCCATAAAAGATAGCCTTATCATTTAGCTCCCTACCGTTCGCTACACACCGTTACTCTATACCGCGGAGATAGGACCATTAATCAGTGATACAAAAAAAAGTGTAACATTTCTCACTTTAAGACATTAAAAAAAAGAAGATTAAAAATACAATTTCGTCTAATGAGTCCAAGGTCAATTTCAGAAGGGCAACGTTACTAATTGAAGATCCTTGTAATGGTAAATTTTAATCAAGTGACTTGCATTAGAAGTGTTAGAGGAACAACAATTTTAGCAGGGGTTGAATCATGTAATGCATTTGACTGAAACATGTTTCATTGACAAACAATACCTCAAACGAATTTGGCAATTGTTAATTGAACGTACGGAGTTCCCTAAAGTAGGAATAATTTGTACGATGCAACGCTACAACCACACAGTCAGTAATAGTTTGTACTATGAAAGTCGAACTGTCGACGTTTGCGTCAACAGAAGCCGATATTGATAATCTATTTCTGGCATAATCAATTGTCTCTTACTCAGAAACGCTCAAAACATCATAATTGCCACGAAGCGTCGCCTTCATCAAAAGCACCAATGAGGCGAGCACTCAGTTTCGTCATGGCTAAGGGGTTACGTAAGCAGAAATACAAATCCAGCGATTAGCAACGACCCACGTACTCGCCGTTCTTTACAACCTTTGTGCATGATTATAGGGTTAGGGACGCATGAGCGCTCGACCAAACGCATCCAAGATCTCTCGTCGTAGCCATGCTTTCTGAACGCGTGCGGTGGTCAAAAGGTTCCTGGGGCCGTAAACATTTCTTGTTGAGTAAAGTCTGATTATTTCATTTTGGAAAACTTGAAATACTTCTTTCGTGCAGGTCATGAAATTTCCCGGAACGAAATCGGTATTTTATACTTGAAGCACGTGCCCTCTCGTCCTCGTCGACATAATATATCGAGTTAAATGAAACAAGCAATGTCGCCTGATTTACGGGTCGAACTAGCGTTAAATATGTTTCTTGACCATAAATAAAAATACGTTTGGCGTCTGCGTGTATTTTCAAAGGTATCTAGACAAAGGCATTGATAATAAATGCTCATAACTGTCGACGGTGTTGGAAACGAGGTGAAGTTGATTGTTGTAAACAACCACGTTGCTTTATCCTGAATCACATAAATTTACCGTCAATGTGAATAAACCAAAACGATTTCTGCTATTATTTGTATGTATTGGTGGAGATATATTTCGATATTAAACGACGAGTACGATAACAAATTCAAAGCCTCATTCAAAGCACAATCGAAATAAAACTCCGTTTGCCTTTTAGTATTCCACAAAACTGACCGGGATTTACAATAACGTACTTGAAATGAATATTTATTTTGTTAAGAAGCTTAACTTGTTTTTCAGTCCTCGGACATAAACAGGGTGCAAGTTTGCTCAAATAGGTATTCCATGGCTGTCACCCAACCAGTGTTTTATGTTTATTGTCTGTACGTATAGACAGTGGTCATTTTACAGAAAATGTTGCAAACATATTTTAAGATGTATCTTTTAGATTAATTTTTTTACGAGATATATAGTTTAGTCTCCACATGGTTATGTTCATTCCATGTTGGGTGTATCTTAATCAAACAACGTTAAGATGAAGGAATTCGTTTTAATTTCAGCTGTTTACAAAAACAATATAATGAAATATATATATCAGATTACAGTATAATGTTTAAAGGTGATGATTTTAACAAAATAAACCGTATGCGTTTATGTACCAACAAGGAACCGTCGAAATAAAAAACCGAATAAAATGCCAAATGAGCAGGTCTTGGAAATCCACATCTTCATTGAGTGAGTGAGTGAGTACGGCTTTACGCCGCTTTTAGCAATATTCCAGCAATAACACGGCGGTGGACACCAGAAACGGGTTCACACATGGCACCCATATGGGGAATCGAACCCTGGTCTTCGGCGTGACGAGAGAACGCTTTATGCACTGGGCTATCCCACCGCCCCCAAAATCTTCATCAATGTCCTTATGATGTCTCGCTTGCAATGTTTGTATGTTGTATAACGTCACACTTTGCAATATACCCGCTATATGACGGCAGCCTGTAAATAATTGAGTTTGGACCAGACAACCCAGTGATATATATTGTGAGCAACTATCAACGCTGTCGGGGTACGATGACACGCAATCAAGCAGGTCACGGAGTCTGACCTCCCGATCTGTTAAGTCCCCTCTCAGGACCAGCATAGGATGCTGAGGACCAGAGAATTTGTATTTGGTATTTCTAAGTTATGCCACAAAATGGTGTTACTCTATGTATATATTTTTTCCAAAAGAAGAAGGACGTGTTTTCTGTTTATGTTTATTGTTTTCGAAGCAAGTTAATTTCTCATAAACTAATGACTCGGCAAGGACTAAATAGCATTTGTCTTAGATGGTCGAGTTTCCTTCCTTATGGGGCAAAGACAATTTATTTATTCATTCTACGGCTTTCATGACATATTTGCACGATTGTTTCATTATCACAACATTTAAAATATAAATATTGTATTTAAGAATGATGGTGTCCAAAGAACACATAAATTGGTTCTTCTCGCTATATTTGCTTGGTTGTAGTTACGTTTGACTTCAAAGCTGCATACCGACTATGTCTGCACGCGACTGTGTGTTGATGGCCCCCTGCATGGTATACATGCCATGGCTGTGTCAGACAATGCTAGACAAGACTACATCCGTTCATCGTTAAAGTCAACTTATGTATGTATGTATGTATGAACTGTGAGAGAGAGGGAGAGAGCGAGAGGAGGGGGAGAGAAGGAGACACAACAAACTATTTCATTTAATTATTTTTTAATGTCGGTTAAGGTAGATAACAGCAATACTTATATCACCGAAAGTCAAACAAACAGGAACAAAATTGTATTCATTATTCTCATACTACAACGCTCACGAAATACACAGGAGGATCTATACAGCGTTGTTATTGTAGCACAATGCATGTGAGATTTAATAAACATGCTCTCTCTCTCTCTCTCTCTCTCTCTCTCTCTCTCTCTTACGAAATGTCAAAGGAAAGTAACTAGGGATAAAAAAAACATATACAAGGATACATATAGTTCTGAATATATATATATATATATATATATATATATATATATATATATATATATATATATATATATTCAGAACGATTTCACTTGAAACTACTTAATTTGACTAAATGTTTCGTGCAAGCTTTTATCTACATTATAAACCTACATATCATTGTGCAAACATAACATTTCTAAACTATTGCACATGTGTTTGTTATATTAATGGTTATAGAAGGATGTAAGAATGAGCTTTATGGTAATATGTAGGAAGTCACACAAAAGAACCCTTCTGGTTGAAATACACCCAACATCGTCCAGTGCAGCAGCTGATATCACCTTTGATGTATGTATGATGCGGGTTCTTGAATACGAGAATCTTTAGAAAACATGAAAGTTTTACTTGAATGGTCCAATGTTTGGGTTCCTAATGGCCCGTCAGATACAATTGACGTCCGTCTCTTCTATCTTTATGTTTGTTCTTGAATAAAAGCGTGAAACTTAAACATGCAATTTTCAAACCGGTTCTAGCACGAGAACGACTTAATGTTTATCATATATTCATTATTTGTAAATAAAAATATTAAATCTATGCTAAGGTGTAATTAAGTTCGGAATTATTGTACATTGTAGTGTGGTGCTTATACTGAGATATTAGAGTGGTTTCAAAAATAAATATATAAACCTTGTACATGTATAAATATTTTGCTTGCCGTTTCACGAGAGTTGGGGGTCATTGCTAAAGCCGTTGTCTTACATTTGACGGCTTAAATATTTCTATACTTTGCATGTGTTCGTGACGTGGACAGGATACGTTCACCGTTTAGCGAACACCTAATATCCTCTCTATATGATTAGGATTCATAAACACATATTTATGATATGGTCGGAATGGTACCAAAGACTCTGCAGAGTTTTCTTATGATTATGGAAACGGTACAGTCGCTTATGTTTACTGTGGGTGGTTATATCAATGTGTGATATTGAGATTAATTTAAAGAAAATCAACATCGTTTGACATGAAAGTCTTGATAACGGTGTCAGAATACACAGCAAAACGCCGCAATATTGTTGATCAAACATGTATTGTAGGCATTTCGTTAGTTAAAGAATGCCAACGGAATAGCCTGAACCACATATGCTTCAAAACACTGGACCTTGTGTTGGACTAATTCCTCGCTCAGTGTCCGATCGTTGCAGCAAGCTAACCTGTGGAGGTTTCGAGTAGACATGCATAAAAAAAGGAACTGGTGGGGTGTAATTATATTTTCTCAAATGTGAATTGAACATGTGTTTGGGGGGTTGCGAATGCGTTACTGTTGTAGTCATGCAGAAATATCGAACTCTGTAGAATTCAACAACAATTCTTTTTCGATTTAATTATATTAAATTGTTTCCGGATAATCCAGTGTTTGTGTAATTGCCGACATTTAGCTATAGCGTTAACC